AGAAGAATGGGGGATGGCGCCCCTGTGTAGACTACAGGCGCCTTAACGCCATTACCCGCAAAGACTCATACCCGCTGCCCCGCATCGATGACACTTTGGATCATGTGGCTGGTTCCAGTTGGTTCAGCTCCTTGGACATGCGCAGCGGGTACTGGCAAGTGGAGTTAGCGCCAGAGGCCCGCCCGAAGACTGCATTCACCCTAGGGCAGGGACTGTGGCAGTTCAAAGTAATGCCCTTTGGTCTGTGTAATGCCCCAGCCACCTTCGAGAGGCTGATGGAGCGCGTCCTAAAAGACATCCCTCGTACCCGATGCGTGGTGTACCTGGATGATCTGCTGGTCCATGCTGGAAGCTACAACCAGGCCATCGACAACCTGCGGGAGGTCCTGACCACCATCCGGGGTGCTGGACTCCGATTGAACCCAGCCAAATGCCACCTGCTCAGCCAACAGACTCAGTTCCTGGGGCACGTGGTCAGCCAGGAGGGAGTGGCAACCGACCCGGAGAAGGTGATCATGGTGAGGGACTGGTCCTCACCTAAGAACGTTGCAGAATTCCGCAGCTTTCTGGGCTTGACTTCCTACTATCGGAGGTTCGTCAGAGGGTTTGCTACTGCTGCCCCCCTGCACCGACTGACTAACAAGGGCAAGAGGTTCGAGTGGGACGACGACTGCGCCACCGCCTTCCACCAGCTCAAGACGGCTTTGGTGGAAGCTCCTGTTCTGGCCTACCCCGACCCCCAGCGGCCCTTCATTGTGGACACCGATGCCAGCGGCGTCGGCGTCGGGGCTATACTCTCCCAGGAGGGAGAGGCAGGAGAACGGGTGGTGGCCTACTATAGCTGCAGCCTCAGCCGACCAGAGCGAAACTACTGTGTCACCAGACGGGAGCTGTTGGCTGTCATCCTGGCTGTACGGCACTTTAGGCCCTACCTACTGGGTACTAGGTTTGTGTTGAGGACTGACCATGCCAGCCTCACCTGGATGCTGAGTTTCCGCCAGCCAGAGGGGCAGGTGGCCCGATGGCTGGAGATACTTCAGGAGTATGACTTTGAGGTTCGGCATCGCCCAGGCCGACAACACACCAACGCAGATGCCCTCTCCAGACGACCATGTGCTGTTGATGAGTGCCGGTATTGCAGTCGTCAGGACGAGCGGGCACTGGGGCCGTCGGCAGCGGCGGCAGGGCCGGATGAGGGTGGCCAGCCCCAGGAGCCATTCACCACCGAGCAGCTCCAACTACAGCAGGAGGCTGACCCAGTGGTCCGAGAGGTTAGGAGCTGGCTCGAGGCCCAGGGCCGACCGCGGTGGCCGGCCGCA